ATCACTCGTACTTCAAACTAAGGGGTCTACCGGAGGTGGGGTACACTCAATCTTTTTATAGGCTATAATTGCCCTATCAGAGAAGGAAGACTGATGAACACACTCCGACAAATTACTATATGCCGTAGTTCTCACTCACCTTTCCCTCGCATCAGAGGAAAGACGCTGACCAGAACTAGCAAGAACATCAGCTCTAGCAACTCTAGCAACTCGAACTAAGAATTAATGGTTTGGTTTAGCTTCTCTTTTCAATAGCCCGGGAATAGTAAGAACTGGGAATACCCGCGCAAGAGCAGACCTGACCTAACACCGAGGAAGAACCTAGAAAAAGAAAAGAAGAAGAAGGAAATATTGTTTGGCGAAGAAAGCGGGCTTTGCCATAAGCCCCGGATATTCTATCGGTGACCAATCGATTCGAGTCGGTCAGTCAAACAAACAAAGACTATAGTTCCCAAATGCTGTTTAGCGCTCAGTAGTTCAATAAAAAGAAAATCGCAATTTGTGCCAAACCTCCATCTCTCCTACTCTCTTACCCTAGCATCCATATTCAGTTAACTACTTACCTCAGCTTTATCTCTATCTATCCTCCGCTCTTCGACCTGCCTTTCTTTCTTTGCCTGCCAGGGAGTTGCCGGATTAGCCTTCGGACTTTCCTTACCCTAAAATAAAAAGTCGAAGGTAGCACGCCGTGGGGGAAAAGCGTCGGCAGTGCGTTATAACGGGAACTGATTCTCTCCTCCGTGACCCCGATACCGATGTCTGAGTTTTCTTCTGTCTTGATTGATCTCTTGATACAAGCACCTCCGGAGGTAACCCCATACTTCTCGATGATTTCGATTCCATTCACGATAGAAATGAATAAGATTCGAGTCAACAAAGAAAGGAGGGGACTCTTCTCACTCAGTGAGCAGAAAGTTTGCAGCTAAGCTAGAAGAGTCCGCTTTTGTTACCTCTCCTCCCGACTTCCGACATGTCACGAGGAAAATGGAAGCTATAGGGGTATTCCCCGGGCAACCTGACTGAGGTCTGTGTTCCGACTGCTCGAGCTCAACCGCAGGTTTGACTCGAAGGTCTCGGTTAAGTCTTACGCTGAGCAGGGACGCTTCTGCTAGAATAGAAGGCCTTGAACCGCCCGCGACCAGAACAACTTAGAATGGACAGACATCTCTGAGAGGCTCTGAT